TATACATATAATTCATAGATCATTCATTTAGGAAAAAAAAAAAAAATACCCATCACACACACACACACACACCACAAAGAAACCGTTCTAATTCGATCAGGAAATTCATCTCTTTTATTATGTATAATTTGAAAGGATAAAAACCAAAAATAAACAAAAATAAGAAGAAGACTGTATATATATATATACATATAATTCATAGATCATTCATTTAGGAAATAAATTTTCCCATGCATTCCAATTTTGTCATGATAACACTCGAGCTTGGAAATGTTTTCTGATCGAACCGCTTTACGACCTGTTACTCGACACACTTCTCTTTTCTCTCTCTCTCTCTCTCTTTCCTTTTTTCTTTTTTTCTTTTTCTTTTTCTTCACGATCCGAGAACTTTGAATTTGTTTCTTACAAAAGATTTTATACAATTTTATTAAAATAAAAATATATAAAAAAAAAAATTCTGGAACATCTGTTATGTCCATTTGTGGTAACGTTTAAACATTTCATTCGTAAATATTAACAAAAAAAAAAAAAAAGAACAACAATCTTTACAAATAATCCGTTAGTTTAACACAGATTTAACCCGTTTGCATGTCATCGATCCCAGAACAAAATTTTTTTATCTTTTTATTTATTTATACTCACACAATCTTATGTTTTTTTTTTCTTGCTCGTATTTATTTTTATTTGTTCAACTTTCATCATCATCATCATCATCATCATCATCATTAACATAATAGTTTTCTTTTCTAGTTTGTTTTTTTTTTTTTGGTTTCATTTCTCCTTTCGATTACTTCTGACACATAAGTTTAAAATAAGAAAAAGAAGAAGAAGAAGAAGAAGAAGAAGAAGAAGAAGAAGAAATTTTGCTCTGTTATAATGTAATTCATCATAACTGTTTCAATAGCGGGATGCTGTTGCATTGGTACTTCTTATTAGGAAAATCTCGCTAATCGTTTCTCTTAGCATGGTAAAACCAAGAAGCCAGAAGAAGGCGCAACTACTACTAGGTGAAAGAGAAGGAGGAGGAAGAGGAGTGAGAGATAAACAACACGTGCAAAATTCTCAAGCAAAACCACTTCGGGAAGTTAGTTGAACGTATCATCGCGTGTTACAGTTCGATTGAAACTTAACGGGATTTAATATCGCGACCTTGGAGGATGCGAGGGAAACCAGTCTTTAAAACGATCCACCTATAAACCGATCAGAAATAAAAACCTTCATTCTCTTATCGTTTACCATTTAAACGAACCCATATACATGAGTAACAATTTTACTTATTTATAGATTTCAAAGAAATAATTGAATTTATTTTTTCTTACGTTAGTAATGCATTCATATTTGATTCATTTAAATGTAAGATGTATTATGAAAATTATTCGAACTAATGTAATAGTGTATTTATGTAATCAAAATTATTTATTACACAATAAAAGAAAAACAAATGTAAGATGAATGAATAATATGATAAAAAGTTTAAGTAGTGTGAATAACTTAGTATTATTTCCAAATGGTATTTAAATGTATATCATAATGTTAATCTACGAATTAAATTCTTATCGTTTACGAGTTATATATATAATAATAATAATACTACATTTTTAATATTATATATTAATATATAATATATATATATAATATTATAATATTATATTATTAAAATTATATATCATAATATATATATATATATATATAAATTACGTGTCACATTGTTTGTCAGCAATGGACTCCTAAACTACTGAACTGATTTTAATAAAATTTTGCACACTGTGTGCAGTTTCATCCAACTTGAAAGATAGGATAGTTTATATCTCTATTTATAATCGCATTATTATTTTATTGCGAATTATTTGTTTATTAACAAAGAGTCATGATTATCTCTGTTAGTTCGATAAGATTCTAACAGATGGTTGTATAAGGTAATTCGTTGACTTAAAGACGTGTGTATCGGAC